ATCCTAGAATGTTTGATGTTTTTCCAAATGCAACAAGAATGTGCTTGAGATCAATGCCACTCCCTTCCCTTCAACAACGTTTAATGATCTGCTGACTTTGAAATAGACAAATTTTAAAACTAACATACCTAGATCTGCCGATATAAGTGCCTCCCCATCATAATTAGGTCCTGCCAGAACAGTCCCAGATGGTGATATAATGACACTGCCCCCAGCACAGACAACAGAATCTGGAGTGAGCTCCTCCTCTTGCCCGGAGAAAACATATTCTGGAGGAGGTGGGTAATCCTTTCTGCGACAGAACTGGTTGGCTGACAACACAAAGCATCCACCCTCGAGAGCAATATGGGTCATTGACGCTTGCCATATGTTTCTGGAATCAGCAGTAGGTGCACAATATATTTCAACACCTGAAAACATCAAAGCTTCACAAGTTAGGATACCGCTGATTCTTAAACTAGACAACCAGAACAGTCTATTAATACTATCAACATAAATACATTCCAGGAAAAAGTTGTTCTTTTTCTTCAACAAAAATTGCTTTATAATATTTCTAAAATTTTAAGATTGCAGATTCAAGAAAAAGGAGTATAGCACCTAAAACTTTGATCTAATGGATTCTATTCGAGAAAGGCCAAACCTTTAGCATACATGGCTGTCCTCAGAAGAGGCATTCTATTCTCCCAGCAAATAGCAGCACCTATTTTTCCAATTGGAGTGTCAAAAACTGGAATTGTAGATCCATCTCCAAAACCCCAAATCACACGCTCCAAAGCAGTTGGCATGACCTTGCGGTGCTTCCCCAGGTAATGACCTTGAGAATCAAAAAACAGAACTGTGCAATACAGAGTATACCCATCTCTCTCTATCACCCCCATTACCAAAAACACCTTATACTTCCCCGCCATGGCTGCCAATCTGTCCACTTCAGGACCTGCAATCATCATAAACCACAGATGTCAAGAAAGTTATAAAAACCCTTCATAACAAAACTTGCTGATGATGTATCTATCATGCAATTCAATTAGCATTACTTCTAATGGATTCTCACCAGGGACCTCAATGGCTGAAGCATGATACTTGCGGAATTCCTCCTTCCCCTTGGCAGTTCGGTTTCCGATCGTCACTCCGAAAGTCGAACCACGCGGATACCCCCCAATAAACGCTTCCGGAAACACCACCAGTTGGGAACCATGCCCGGCTGCTTCGTCCAACAACCTCTCCGCCTTATCTGTATACACAACCCATAACACAAAATCCAAGTAACACCAATACCATGATGAGAAAATCTAAAAAGCTAGAAGCAAAAGATAAGGAAAGAGCGGGACCTAGAGTAGCAGGGGTGTCGTAGAAGATAGTGGAGGCCTGAACAACGGTGGCGCGGACTGTAGGTGCAGAGGGCTCAGCACCCATGTTGACCTCCGCGAAGAGTGGTCCATCCGCCGGAGTTTGTACTGGTACTAAAGACATCTTCTTTGGTGTGGAATTGTCGTTCTGATCAGCAGCTGCTTGCATAACTGGAGAGGGGCAGCCGCCTTGTTATGGATTTTCCATTGTTTTGAAAGAAAATTAGCCGTTTTTTAGTACTAGACGTTTCTAGATTTTAATTATTCTATTATTGAAAAAGTGTAATTCAGTTTAAATAATATTAAATTATATTATATCAATTATTAAATAAAAATTAATTTTTTTAATTATAAATATAAATTAAATGTATAATATATATATTTTTATACCAA